TTCTCTCTCTCTCTCTCTCTCTCTCTCTCTCTCCCTCCCTTTTTTCTATCTTCTTCTCTTCGTCCCGCTATTGCACCGTTCCGATCGATTTGTTATTCGATCAATATTGTTTATTCTTACACCACCGGTACAATCACCTCCACCTCTCAGATACTTTTCATTTTCGCTCCACTTTGCTCATCCTACTTTTTTCTTGTTTTTTTTTTTCTCAACAACAAAGTTTACAGTGCCGTTCGGAGTTCTCTTCTCTTCTCTACTCTTCCCTTCTCTTTTGCTCTCTTCTCAAATCCCCCTCCTACGTTACAAGCCGCAAGGTTCTCCCTTTGTAGCACAAATTACGATGCTATAAACGGCTGAAATAAATAAGTATAAAAGAAAAGGTAGAACGAAATTGGAAAACGGCCGTCCGGTAAACGAACGAATGAACGAACGAACGAACGAACGAAAGAACGAACGGGCAAAATGGCGTGGCATCGGAAAGGCAATTGCGCGGATTAAACTCAACCAGGTCTTTCTCTTGCTTTTTTATTTCTTTTTTTTTTTTTTTATCATATCGGAATATATAATTTATTCTTGGTGCATAGAAGAGAAAAAGTGGGATAGCAAATTAAAGGGGAAGCGAGATATAAAAAAAAAAAAGGAAAGAAATAAAGAAAGATACGAACGGTGGGTGAGGGGGGCTCAGGTTGTGGGAGATAGGGTGAAATCGTTATCGAATGCACGATTGAATCGCGATTATCGAAGGTCGATCTGAAATTCGAAATATTCAATTAAATCTGCCGAGATCGGATCGTACCTATCAGTGATCTCAATTTATATATTATATATATATATATAATTATATCTACATAATTCTCACAAATATTTTATTCCAAATCGAATTTTAAATAACCGGCATGCTAAACTGGAACGCATTTTATACTGACTGGCTCGATTTCCGAGGGAACTTTATTTGCGGTTGGCCGCAAGAATGTTCGTCCATTATTTCCCCTAGCTCGTTTCATAATTACTCGCGCGCTTCTTTCTTTCGAACAGAATAAAAAAATAAAAAAAAAAGAGATAGAGATAGACATACATAGGTATATCTAGATAAAAATAAAAAGAGAAGAAGAAAAAGAGATAAAGAGAGAGAAAGAGAGAGAAAAAGAAAAAGATCAAGCGAGAGGAGGATCAAATGAGAATTTAATCGTCGAGTCGATACTTCATAGTAAAGATAAAAAATTAAAAAAAAAAAGAGAAAAAAGAAATAAGAGAAATTCAAATAAAGAAGATTGAAAACAAATAAAAAAAAGAAATAAAAGAAGAAGTGTTCTCTAATTAATAAGTAATTTTGTTTACTTTGTTTCGCTATAATAATATTATTATTATTATTATTATTATTATTATTATTTAAATTCGTAAAAAAAAAAAAAAAAAAAAACCAGATAATTTTGTTATAAAATTAATCGCTCGTAATTTTGCGTAAAGTAAACGTGTGCGTGTACACGTGTATTTTACACAATGTCGCACCTGCGTTCTACTACCGGTAATTATACGAACAGGACGACACACTTCAAAACGTTTAGCGTTCCGTTTTGTTTCCGGTCGGTGGGAGAAAATTTACGACGATTTATTTGCGGTAGAGGTAAAATCCGAGCTTTAAATTAGAGCCGTGTTTTTGAATGTAACATGCGAGGACCCAGCGATGAAGTTTATTCTACAATATGCAGCTAGGTAGAGACACGATAAAGACTTCACTTATATATACATATATACATATATATTTAATTTTAACGGTAGAATGAACATTCTGTGAGAAATTTTTCATAATAAAAACTTTGCTAACGTTTTAAGTCTACTATGAATTTTTCTTCCTTCTCTTTATCTCCATCTCTTTCTAATCTTTCTTTTCTTTTATCAAGAACGTTTATACGGTGCAACATTTTTTATTTTTTTTTTTTTTTTAGTGGGAGACTTGTAATAGGTGATTCGGTTAAAAAAAAAATGGGAGAAAGAAGAGGAGTAGGATAAAAGAAACTCCACAGATAAGGTTAAAAAGAATAGCTTCATAGGATCTTCCTTTCTCTCTCTTTTTTTCTACAGTATTCGTGCAGCAGTTCGAAGAAGAAGAAGAAGAAGAAGAAGAAGAAGAAGAAGTAAAATAAAAAAAAAGTTTTATCCGACGTGGGAAAGTAAAAGGCTCGCCTAAAAGGCCACCGTTGGGGCTCCATATTTCTTGGAGCTTTAATAGCCTGCTACAAGTTGCACGAGTGGCTAACTATGGAGAACATACGTCTTCCAAAATATGAATGGCACGAAGCTTAAAGTCAGTCGAACAACTAGAAAGTCAAGGAATTGAATTAAAACGAAAAAGTTCTTCGTGAGATCTAAAAATCGAGAATCAACAAAGATAATGATATTATTAAAGCTCGTGTTTTCAACAAATCATTCGAAGAAAACAAAAATCCGATAAGAAGAACCAAAGAGAAAAAGAGAGAGACTTTTTGGTCAAATCTTCAAAAGATTTTACAAAATCTGTGTTGACTTTAAAAAGTTGGGTATATTCGTCAAGGATTTCAAAGGATTGTCGTGAGACAGAAGAAGAATAGAGTTACTTTACGGTTAAATTCACAAATCTTTGCTATTCCGTTTAGAAAAGAAAAGATTACCGTTCAAGCAGCACTCCGATATATTTTAACACGTTGGATTCTTGCTCGCGTTTAAAAGTACGAGATAAGAAGTAAAAGTAAACGATTAATGTTAAATCGAATCTCGGAAACATTGGAGATAACATTTGTCAAAGTTACTTTTAAATGGGCTATCGTAAGATCTGCACAAATTGTAACTATCAAAAAAAAAAGTGGAAAGGGAAAAAAAACCTCCTCTTGAATATCACGTTTAAATCAAACATTGGAAACACATTTATATATGAGAAAGTGGAGGTGATCAAAACCATACCGCAAGAAGTAACGGACTACGACCTTCCTTATAATTTATTACGATTCGGTTGTCGTCGAGTAACACCAAGAAAATCACACCGTAGAACTACTGGACACATGAACTTTTGTGATTTAAACCAAGACTTCTTTCCATGGCTTTTTTCCTTTTTTTTAAAGTACTTTAACGTGCCAACGTGGCCCGATGTTATACGAATATCGTATGATTTAACGATGAAAAGTAACTTCTTTTTTTTTTTATTTAACCATTATAATTTAGTTTTGAAATACAGTCAATAAAACATTTATTTGTAATCTGATAAAAAATATTGACAAAAATATTTCAATAGGATTTATCATATACGGGATTACAATACGAATATAAATAAATAAAATCTAATTGTAAAATCGTAATTCTCATCTTGTGTTTAATTTATATTTAATATATATAATAACACACATATATAAATAAATAAATAAATAAATGATATAAATTAATGTTTATCGATTATTATAATGAACTTTCAAAATGAGCTTAATGATATCGCAAAATCTCTTTCGCATGAAGTCCGTTGAAATTTCATTCGGTACATTATAACGGTTTGGCTAATCGATTCGTCGAATATTGCGTTCCCGATTTGTAGAAACTCCTCCCTGTTGTGCCAGCAAATCGAGCCGGTGATTATCGAAACGAAAATACGCTCTAACTATCGGCAATTTATTGAGTCGACGTGATTAAATATTCGCCGCTTTTACTTCCGACAACACGAACGTGTTTCCTCCACGTATTTATCGATTAATAACGACATTGTTTTTATTTTTATTTTTTTTTTTTCAAAATTCGTAAGAAAGTTATATATTTTTCACCATGGGTCAAAAATATCAATACACGTAAATCCTATCGGAAAAATCAGGGGTGCGGGAGGGGGGGACTACTCTTTGATGTTCAAAAAATCGAAAAGGTTGATACGAGTCGAATTATTCGAATTTCTTTTTTGTTTGTCTCTAAAACAAACCAGGTTATCGTGACATTTTTTACGTACTACCGCAAATGCGCGTTCTTATTTTAACGAAACGAACAAAAAAAAAAAAAGAAAAAAAAAATAAAGAGGCGAAAAAGGAAGTACGATCGATAGAAGGTTTTTTTCAAACATCACGGTCTATTAACGAAATTATTTAAATATACTACTACCTAACAAGCTCTCCGTGTCATGCTTGACAATATTCTCGTATAACGACTATATAGATATTATATCGGTATAAAGTATCGGAAAATCTAATAACTCGAAAAAGTTGGAGATAACTAAATCTTCTTACGAGTAAGATACATATATACATATATATGCATGTATATACATATATATGTATATGTACTACTATTCTGAAGCTTGCCATTCGAGACTATTTAAATTTAGTCGCACACGTTTTTCCGCATCCTCGAATTCAGAAGAGACATTTCGACGCCCCGTTTCTCGCGATTCGTTCTTTGTATGTACATATACCTACATATATATATATATATATATATATTTTTATATAGATATATACGAGTTCCCATTGGAATACTGATTTTACCTTAGCATCGTCTAACAGTACTCACAGTTGATATTTCATTATTATTCTTCGAGTATTTGAAGCAAGGAGAATACCTACAGCGAAATGGTACAAACTTGTGATTGAAAATGTTCTGTTTCATGCATAAAACTGGTATGGACAAAAAAGATGAAGAAACTTGTTCCTGACAGAATTCATCGTAGATTTAAGTCCGTTTAACTCTTTAACCAAGTCGCATGCATATTCTATTAACGGATGTAACCTAGAAACCGCGAGATAGCGTTGCTATGACGAGAACACCACCACCACCACCATCATCATCACCACCACCACCATAGCCATAATTCTCTCTCGTTTAAAGCTGTCAAAGTTTTTTTTTTTTTTTTTTTTATATAAACGCTATTAAGAAATTACAAAAGGTGGAAAAAAAAGCCAGAATAACCTGTAACCTTTAATTACACCTTCAAAGCAACTTTGAATATCTCGTGTTAATTAATATACAAAACGAAAAATAGAAAGTTAATTTTTTACCTCCTTGTCGCCCATATGATGTACTCGACAATGAAGAAAGGCAGTTTGCCCTACGGCCGTTGTCACGTTCCGTGGAACGTTCAGATCAAAACTCGGTGCACCACTGATGTTATGATTCCCCGTGACACTTTCAACAAGTTTTTGATCGCGAGCAAAAGTACCTGTAAACGAAAACATTTTACTTAGATCATACTTTTTGATTAACGCATTTATTTTTTTCTTCTTTTATTGACATGTCCTTTAAAAAATTCCAATGAATTTTAAATGGAAAAACATTTTATAAAAAGATAACATTTCTATATTATAAATTAATATTCATAAATCGACACGATTTTATCAACACAATCCGATATGACATAAATCCATTCTTATAAAATATATATAGATATATGTATGTGAATGTAATATTGTACAATAAAATATAATATGTCTATAAGAGTATACCACAGGTTTGGTATTACGATATTCGTAGCTTCTATGTGGATAAATATGGCTTTCAAGCTTTAGATAACAGATTACGTATCGTATACATACTCATGTATTTATATATATATATCGAAAGTGTCGGTCGTTAAATGTCGGACGTTTTCAAAGCCGGTTGTGATCATCGACTTGGACGACCACAGGATTTAGGATTCAGACTCCGCATTGCGATATGTATCGGCCATTGTGAGTTGCGTCCGTGAGAATAGTCCAGACTTGGATGACAAGCGGGTGCTCTCTATTTCGTTATTGATTGCCGATATCCGAACTGGATATCCATGGTACTCGGCGCCCATTCGTGACCCAAGATATCAACGACAGATTGATCCAAGCTCTCTCTCTCACACACATTCTCAATTAAAGGATGGGGAAGAGAAGGGTGACTCGAATTACATACAGCTAGCAAGGCCTTTGCTCTTACCGTAATTTCGTAGAAATGTCACCCTTTTGCTAATGGTATTGACCTTGGAATAAAAGGTAATCCATTTTAACAACTTCCTAAGATTCTTTAGGAGATTTCAAGAGAGAGAGAGAGAGAGACCTTCGAATTCTTTTCCCTAAGGCTTAAGATTTATCAAACAGAAAATGACGGTGTTCAGTTCTGAGAGATCTGTGATGAATTAACGAAAAGTGAACATATTTTTTTGAGTACGTTATTTATGAGACTTCTGTGCAATTAACTATACCGATTGAAAAAAGGAAACAAATTTTTTATAACCAATCCTCGTGACTACTTTTCACCAAATGGAAATACTCGAATTTGTTTAGCACAGTTACCAAACTGTAAATGAGAAAGTAAAAGAAAAGGGGGGTTGGGGAGAGAGAAAGAAAAGGAGAGAGAACTCTCCTTCGACATTACACTACTCTCAGCCTAAGTGATTCTGAGTAACATTCGAGTTTCAAGCATCGGTAGGCCGCAATCCCTGAAGGAGATTTTACCTAATTGGAAATGGAGGGTGAAGTGGATTAAAGAGGCCGCCTATTCAGGACATTGAATTGAATTAATATCAAGGCACACTGTGCGATTGCTCCGATTTACCTGTGTTAACCTTCTATTTTTTTTCTTTTTCTTTTTTTGTGATATTTAATGTACCTTAATAAAGAAAACGAAATATGCTGGAGAGGATGCTTTGAGATTTACGACGAGAAGAAGAAAAAAAAGAGCCTCGTTAAAGATTTCAAGGAAAACCACGAATAATGAATTTGATTCTGTCTTAAATATCAAAGATATCTTGCAAATTCATCAAAAACTTAATTACGGATAAAGATTGACAATACTAATTGTTAAATATAATCATTGATCATTACTTACGATAGATAATGATCATTCAGACGTGTATTGCAACGTGTACTTGAATCGGTATCGTAGACAAGGATTCCCTCATTGTGTGTTATACAAGACATCTAATACGAAACCCCTTTCAATGCTGTCACGTACACTTGCTTCTACGGAGATACGCTTCCGGTCAATTTAGAAATGGTACTGGTGGATGCACATCCACGAATGCGATATCAAGTTGTCGGGATACCTCGCTATTACGGAAGATAACCAAGTGCCTGCTGCGGCGGTCGTTTTCCTGAACGGTAAATTGGTCACGTGGATCCTTTCATTGTCACGATTTCGAACGAACCACGTGATTCTTTCGAATTTTATAATCGTCACGTGTTTATCGTCAAAAACGAATATCCTAAATCTAATCTGTATCCAATCGAGGATATTCAATTATCTTTAGGAACTTAAGAAGTTGGTGGTTGTCCATAAGGAACGTTCAAAAATAATATTTAAAACGGTAATTACATAATTAAAGTCTTTACAGAGTAGAAAAATTAAGATGATTAAGCGAAATGGATTTTGTTTCATCGTAATAAGTGGGAAGATTGAATTTGACGAGAAAGAGAGACGTGATTAAACGGTACGTGAAAATATTTATTATAGAACACTGGTTGTTGTTAGAAATTTTCTGTAAACGTTATGTTACATCGTCGTACGTGATACGTAATCAGGGTGGAAAGCTAAATAGCTTGTTTACGGTACCCGATTGGCTTCAGAGAACGGCTAATGATCACACGGACTCTATTTCTCTCCCCCTAGGTCTCGCTCACACAGCCGCCGTCTCCTCTAATCTTCAAACAGATATAGACAGAGTTTACGTTCACTGCTCACGAACCACAATTCCATAATCCTTGGAATAAACAAAACGTAATAACTTACGATATTTTTCATTTAAGTTTTTTATTATTGTAATTAATTCAATTATCTTAATATCGATCTATAAATTAAACATTCTATCACAGAAAATACTTGTCCTACTTAATTATTATTGCTATTCTATTCTCAAGAAAAGATAAAATATAAAAGTACTTGGGTATTTTCTTTAATTTTACGAATATACTTTTTAACAATTTGTTTTTATATATTGTATTCTAAGATATTTTATCTATTGTATTCTGATATAAATTGTATCATTTTTTATTGAAGATTTAAAAAGAGATTATGTCACTAGAATACAAAAACAATTTACTTATTATTACATTGTCTTGGGGAGTGGAGAAAAAAGGATAAAGAAATAAACGAAATGAAAGTAAGAAATAAGTAAAAAAAAAAAGAGAAAAGAGAGAATGGAGACGTTGACTCAGCTATTTATCAGCAAAGACAAGGTGGAAAGCAACCAGTACGCTGTGGCTTTTCCTTGGCATTTCGAAATGCTATGTTGAAGGAGAAAACATAATGTCTCAGACAATTCGAAGATATCACCGCAAGGAAAACCAACGGAATACGATTTTCCTTCTTTTTATGCGATACAATGTATACGTTTACCTGTATATATAAGTACATACTTACACATATATGTATACCAGAGTTAGAAGATAAAAATTGGAGATCGAACAAGTTCCTAGCATCATCATCAATTTATTTACAAAACTAATCAATATAATCATCTTTCTTCTACTTATTTATATCGTTCCTTTAGCTTATGACTTCATTATTAAATTTTATTATTATCAAAGTTCCTATTCTTAAAAAATAACACGTAAATATTATAGAAGATGAAACTTTGATCCATAGATAAATAGATTTAGGTAAAACGTTGACTTTGGTTTTATCTAGATAATAGATCATCGATCTCGTCTAGTTTTAACAAACTTCCAATTTGAGAAGCATCTTCATACTACAGCAAATAATAACATTCATCTCGTTTCTAACTCTCGTTACGTATAGTATACAAAACCGTGTCTGTGTGTTATTTGAAGATCGTATATAAGAACCGCCTAGAAAGATGTTAATATCGAAACTTTCGTAATTTTCCTTTAGATGAAATTTTCGACTTTTAATGCATATATTACAAGAAAGCGTATATAATTCAAATTATGGCGTTATTGTTCAGAAATTCACAAGACGACACACTTTTATCGAGTCCAAGTTCTAAAACTATGAAGTTAATGCTTCTAATCGTTCGAATCTAAATCATTAATTATGACGACTCTTTGCAAGAACGAAAGCACTAAAATGCTTTCTCCATACGATCTTACCAGGAATCACGGTTGGATCGTCCATTGTAACCTATTTTACTTGATCGATCTTCGCCCTTTCATCAGGCACGCGTTATAAAGTTCTACCGGATGGAGTTCGCAAAAGCTGAAATTTATGAGCCGTCGATAACAGAAAGAGATTGAGAGTCTCGTAAAATCAGTAGTCAGTGCTGTAGTTACTTATCGTTGGACGATTTTGCAGTTGACGGTTTCCCACGGACCAATCCGGAAAGTACCATCTCTTTAACACCCTCTTTTCAAGCAACCCTCTGGAGAACGTAAGCCAAACGGAAACCGTTTGATATACATACACCTATACCTATACCTATATATACGATACATATTCTCTACGTTTATTTCAAAATTTAGTTTTCCTTTACTGATAGGAAACTACCCCAGCATCATATAAACGCATCTTTTACAATCGTATCTATCGTAATATTTTATAAGACAAACACACTATATTCACTATAACGTAAGCTGAATAAATACGACTAGCGTGTAAAACAGCAAACGTATTAAATTCAAAAGCTCTTGCCGACACTCTCTCTCAACATCTCTTATATCTATAGCGGTTGATCTTAAATAATGGCAATACATCCTAGTTCCTATGTAGCATGGTACCAGAGTACAACCTGTTCTTTACAACATTCTACAAGAACATCATGCTTTCAAGCTTCTCTACCTCTTCCACCTACCCGTGCTGTATACCACCCACCTACCTACCTACCTATCTACCTATTCTACCTATCTACCTATCCTACCTATCTTACTACATACGGCTTAGGAACGTTTCAACATTAGAACGGCCTTTGCGAAACCCCGAGTGACGTGCTTACCATGAGTAAACCTCAGGGGAATGAATTTCGAATAACATTAAACCTTCAGAGATGGAGTAGCGTATCAAAGATATCATGCCACCGAGCGATTACATCTCTAAGAGATGCTCTACCTTCAAAAACGAAGAAAAACGAAAGGAAACTTATGTACGTTAACGTCCACGCGATCCTACCGTCTTTTCAACGAATTGTCAAGAGAACCAAGTAGACCCGAGTAGGTTCTTTTTTGTAGACTTACAACGAGATCTGTCGTTTTTTTTTCCTTAACTTGGTGGATATCGAATTGCTTGGTATCACGAATTATTTTC